TCCATAATACACAGTTCACTTTTATTTATTGTTTTTATATACATTGGTTAGGCACACAATTACAACCACTGACAGGGAAAGTGAATAACATTGATTATATTGTTACAATGGCACCTGTCAATGGGTGGGATATATTAGGCAGCAAGAGAACAATCAGTTCTTGAGTTTCATGTGTTGACTTTGACAAGGGCCCACTAGTGATGACTAGATGCCTGGGTCTGAACAGCTCCAAAACAACAAGTCTTGTGGGATGTTCTCAGTATGCAATGGTTAGTACCAGGCCTGGATATCAGGCAAACTGTGCAAATAATTGGTGGGCAGCGATTACCAGAGACAGACCATGGCTGAGATAGACCATGGAGAACACAGAATCCCCTCCAGTGTTGACTATATCTGTGGGCAAAAAAAGGGTTCCATGGCCGGTGGAGAGATCAAGGATCTCCTTCACCAGCCAGCCCTCTGTATGGCTAGGAGGCCCAGGGAGAGTGCTGTGAAATTCTCCCGGAAGAGATCAGAACATAACTATGGGTTACCACTGCAACATTCTGATACTTTCCTAATAGCCCAACGAAAGTAGTATTCTGCACCACTGGTGGTGCAGAGTGCCCAACAGAACCACAATTGATCATTGCTACCTCCTGGCTGGCGGCAAGCCAAAGGGGGGGAGGACTTAACTAAATAATATACTTATTATTATTGTTGCTCTCTTAGTCCCTATTCCACCACACAGCTCCTTCTCCCCTACACTGTACATCCAATTCCTCCCCAACAGTACAGCCCTACTCCCTCAAAATACAGCCCCATAACCACCCGACAGTAACCCCCATAACCCATATCAGTACAACCCCTATCCCACACAGTACAGCCCTATCCTCCATAGACACAGTATAGCCCTATCCCTCACAGTGCAGCCCCTATCCCCTATAGACACAGTATAGCCCTATCCCTCACAGTGCAGCCCCTATTATCTATAGACACAGTATAGCCCTATCCCTAACAGTGCAGCCCTATCCCACACAGTGCAGATCCTATCCACTATAGACACAGTATAGCCCTCTTCCTGACAGTGCAGCCCCTATCCTCTATAGACACAGTATAGTCCTATCCCTCACAGTGCAGCCCCTATTATCTATAGACGCAGTATAGCCCTATCCCTAACAGTGCAGCCCTATCCCACACAGTGCAGATCCTATCCTCTATAGACACAGTATAGCCCTATCCCTCACAGTGCAGTCCCTATCCTCTATAGACACAGTATAGCCCTATAGCCCTATCCCTAACAGTGCAGCCCTATCCCACACAGTGCAGCCCCTATCCTCTATAGACACAGTATAGCTCTATCCATCACAGTGCAGCCCCTATCCTCTATAGACACAGTATAACCCTATCCTTCACAGTGCAGCCCCTATTTAACATAGACACCACAGATGCAGTAGAGCCCCAATCCCCCACTCGCAGTACAGCCCCAATCCACCCCCCCCCCCACTTTGCAACTGCTTTTCTGCTCACTCAGTCCCTATCATCCCCACTCACATTGCACCCTTTCCACCAGCTTGCCAACACACACACTACAGTCCCTATCCCCTAAATAATCTAATGGCTAAAACACTCAATGTATATTATATTAACATGATGGTTTCTCTTGAATGAAAAAACAGCTAGTTTAACAGCAATCCCCATAATATATATTCTGCGTGGGCGGGATAAGTATGGCTCCTCCTTGTGATGTTATTGATCAGGGGTGGAGCTTATAACAGCAGCATTTTCTGTAAACTGCTGTAGGTAACTTTTACAGTGATGGGAAACAAGGAACCTCTTTACACTAGGATCAATGCAAAAGCATTCATGATTATTACACGGTATCTGTGACTGGCCGCCTTGCACCCCGACCGGGTACCTCTGTCAATCGCTGCTTCCTAGTACTTGCGAATACCATAAGTACTGCGCTGGAACACCATAACTACTGCAAACCCCACGAACCGCTGCAGCTTGGTTGGGATCTCGTTGTCTCCTACCCACCCTCAACCCAAAACCAGAATCCAGCTTCCAGTGGGTAGACCTCTCTTAGTCCAGAGAGCGTAGCAGGAACAAGCTCTTACAAGAGCTAGTGATTATTCGCTGGGGAGTATAGTGATTATAGCAATCCCCAGAGTGTAGTTGTCCAATCCCCCAAACATGAGCCGAGACTTCGTGAAGGTGCAAGAAGATCTGAGCTTTAATGGTTCAGGTTGGCTTTTATAGAATTCTCCAGGCCAGAGGAACACCCCCTGGACCTGATGGGGCACAGGAACACAAAGGACACAAACCAATCAGAACAAACATACAGTCTGTGACACGCCCATGTACAGCACACAATCCCCCCCCTCTGCTTGGGAGATAATTGAGTAAAGTACTGTAAGTAACTCAATTATCTCCAGGCAGAAAAAACACATTTTCACAAAGTTCAGAAAGTACCCCAAAACATAACATCCCTGGATAGCCCTGATCTGGGTGAACAACATATGCAAAAATCACCCAGATCAGAGCAGGGGTTCAAAAGTTTAATAGAAGTCTCTTTTTGACCGGCTGCAAGCATGGCTTCATGCCAAAAACAGTTCTAGGGAATTAGGGCCAGCGGTCAGTTTCTCTTTGTGGAGTGCAAAACTACTTACATTACATGAATGGAGCCTTTTAAAGTGTATTGGGCAAGGTATAGTGCTGTGCCCATAGTCACAGGGTAGAAGGCAAGCAAACATGTGGCAAACACACATAAAAAGGGGAGTTTGTCACAGTATCTCTTTAAGGTATCATTACACCTTTAATGTTTTGCATCTGAAAATTGCACCTTGCTATAAATGTAGCTGTATTATGAAGCCATACTGAGCTCCTCATCGTGGTTCCTTTACTAAGTCTGGGTTATATGCTTACTCTGCAGTACACTGTTTTCTTTACACCTTTGCAATTAAAAAAAGATAAAAAGCACAGGTTGGTTATCAAAGTGTGTTTACGAATGACTCAAGTGATGGATATGTCTTGCCATCTGTCTGGGGTCCCCTCCACTTCATGTCTCTTGTATGCAGCTGCATGCTCTAAGTAAGGGTGGCTTTCTCACAATGCTGCCCACTTGTTCCTATAGCAACTGCCAACCCTGCAATTTTAATTATTCAATACTGAACAAAAAAAGAAAAGAAAATAAGGACATGGAATGGAAAGAATAAACAGTTTTTATACAATATAAAGAAATGTGAAAAGAATAACATGACTTGACTCTGTCACTGCCTACCGTCATTAGCATACCGCAAAATAAATTGCAATTATTATTTTGTTTTTATAAAACCTTCACACATCTAAAATCGGCTAATATTTTTACATATCACTTTAACCTTTCCCACCTTGATTTCTTTATTGGTCAGCCTGCTGTCCGCCAATCCAACCTTGATGATATCTTAATATAAGTCCAGAATCCTGGTAACACCCACATCATTACAATCCCTTGGAATTTGCATAGTCTCCTTATCGGCATATGCATAACCCCACCACTACCCATTTCCCAATAAAACACTGACACCATAATTTTGGCAAAACTATATCACAGCTTTATTAATTGTTAACAGTAAATTTAAATGTCATTGTCAAAAGCATGCCAACATTGGCCTGCACAATTTCTATCTTGCATTTTACTATTTAAACCCCCTGACAATGACCCACTCCTACATAAACATAATACCCAAACATTGTAACACCATGTACTTAACATTGAACATATCACCATTGCCACCAAAGGGCACCATAAGTGTAGGGGCATACCGAGACACCCCTACACACCCAGGTTCGGAGCTACCGACAAGCTCGTACAACTTTACTCTCCATCCCCCGCTGCCGTGACCAGACGGGGAACACCTGAAAGCAAAGGGAGGGTGGGTGGGACAACAACAGGTAAGTGTAACTTAGATTAAAATGTCCCCTAGACTTAAAATGGCCCCTTCTTATACTCCCCTTATAACTCCACACCACTTCCATTTTCCTTAACCAATCCCCAGCTAACTGTAATTAGGTGCCTGTCTCCTAGCAATGTCAAGGCCCACTCCCCTTAGCTACGCTGCTCCATGGGCTACATTAAAGGGACACTATAGTCACCTGAACAACTTTAGCTTAATGAAGCAGTTTTGGTGTATAGAACATGCCCCTGCAGCCTCACTGCTCAATCCTCTGCCATTTAGGAGTTAAATCCCTTTGTTTATGAACCCTAGTCACACCTTCCTGCATGTGACTTGCACAGCCTTCCATAAACACTTCCTGTAAAGAGAGCCCTATTTAGGCTTTCTTTATTGCAAGTTCTGTTTAATTAAGATTTTCTTATCCCTGCTATGTTAATAGCTTGCTAGACCCTGCAAGAGCCTCCTGTATGTGATTAAAGTTCAATTTAGAGATTGAGATACAATTATTTAAGGTAAATTACATCTGTTTGAAAGTGAAACCAGTTTTTTTTTTCATGCAGGCTCTGTCAATCATAGCCAGGGGAGGTGTGGCTAGGGCTGCATAAACAGAAATAAAGGGATTTAACTCCTAAATGACAGCGAATTGAGCAGTGAAATTGCAGGGGAATGATCTATACACTAAAACTGCTTTATTTAGCTAAAGTAATTTAGGTGACTATAGTGTTCCTTTAATGTTTTCCAATCTAGTAATGTCTACTGTGATAAGGATTGGTGTTTTATATGTGCGGAACTCAGGCACTAAATAATGATATAAATAGATTGTATTGGCAATAGCAGCTGTAACACCCTATGGGTTATCCTATAGACCCAGAAATCAAACAGTAAACAGAAAAACACAATGTGTTTAAACAGGGTTTAGGTGATATTACCCCTTTCTAACACAGTGTAAAGTGCAGCGCTAAAAAAGAGTTAGAGCTAACCCATGCGTTTAAATAATGTTTTCATACACATGCCGGGAAAAGACAGAGGGAAATACAATAGTGTAATAGTATTACAATCAACAGAAATAAAAGAAATTGAATGCTCACAACATTATTACCGTGGTATTAAACACTTTTCAGGTGTAGTTGAAAGCTTGGTTCTAGTTATCAGAATATTCAAAAATCTGTATTTGTAGTTTTCAATGTAGCAATGACTGTCATCTTGACTGAGGATCCGATTGTAGACTTGTCCCATAGCACTGACTATAATGTTGAATGTAGCATTGGCTGTAATCTTTCTGTGGGATTGATTGCAGCCTGGAACACAGTATATTATGTGAACATGGGCCTTGACCGTACCCATCACCTTTTACAATGGCTTGAGTCTTGGCTTTATCTTACATACAGAATCTGCTTCCTCATTAGAACACTTGAATTCCCTTTCCTTAAATCTATTAATGTTAGAGCTACTGTGTGATTTAAAAGGGTCCAAAAGTGGTATTTGGGCATCAAGAATGAATTTAGAACTAAATGTAAATTAAAAGGCTAATTATCAAAAAGGATACGATAGAAGTGACAGATTCATTGCTCTGTAAAACCACTAAACATTACCTAAGTTATGGAACGTATGGAAGTGTTCCTTTAAGCTTTTATTATAAAATGATATCTGCATGCGGCTGACAGCCCTCTGCAGTGCTTCCATGCAGCTCACACCTACTTAAATCTTCTTTTCTTAGAGTTCCCAGTGCAGTTGCCCTTCAAAAAGAAAGAAGTGACATGGAATTTAAAGACAGCAACTCGAAGTGGCAGTTTGTACTTTATGGCTTTGGCTGTAAGATTTTACAGGAGAATGCTGTACTAACAAAAGGTCACCTTGAGAGCAGTAAATCCAGATTCAGCTGAATGACTTTTCCACCAGTTCTACAACCTCACAAACATTCTGCCGCAATGAAAAGTGGTCACTGGACCCCATCAGGGTGAACAAGGACAGCTAGATAGAGAGCTTCTCATTTATCAGACACTATTAAGGTGACGGCTACAAACTGGAGAGTTGACAAGTGTATAGGAGCTTGCGACGCGGTGACACATTCTTTGTAAAAAGTCTGTGTTTATCGTCTGTGTTCAGATTCGTTGTTTATAAAGAAGTCAAGAAGACCTCGGTCTTTCTTTACCATAGTTAGAACGAGCTTGCACATTATTGTATCAAAATATTCATTGAAAAATATTATTGTACCAAAAGAATTCCTATTTAGGAGGGCAAGTATCTATTTTTATTTTTCAGAAATTAAATGACAAAGGGCACTAGAGCACTCACCTGGTGTGTGTATCTGTGTGCCAGTGTGTGTATCTGTGTGTATGTGCCAGTGTGTGTATCTATCGTTATCTGTATCATATGTGTGTCAGTGTGTGTATCTGTGTGTATGTGCCAGTGTGTGTATCTATCATTATCTGTATCATATGTGTGTCAGTGTGTGTATCTGTGTGTATGTGCCAGTGTGTGTATCTATCGTTATCTGTATCATATGTGTGTCAGTGTGTGTATCTGTGTGTATGTGCCAGTGTGTGTATCTATCGTTATCTGTATCATATGTGTGTCAGTGTGTGTATCTGTGTGTATGTGCCAGTGTGTGTATCTATCATTATCTGTATCATATGTGTGTCAGTGTGTGTATCTGAGTGTGTGAATGTGCAAGTTAGTGTATGTAAGTGTGAATATGTGCAAGTGTGTGTGTCTGTCAGTGTGTGTATGTGTTAATGTGTATGTATATCTGTGTAAGTGTGCATGTGCAGAGCTCCCAGCAATAAAACACCAACACAACATGCAAACACAAACATGACACACAAAGATATCCCTGAGATCCAACTCTTAATTTATGTACAAACACTTAAACACACCTGTGGCAAAACAAGCCACTTAAGGATGTATTTTCATGTACCTGTTACTATACCTTTAAAGACTGTAAGAACCAAGGGAATATCTGTATAAACATACTGTGCGAACGAGAGCATTCGTATGCTAGCTGCAAGAAAGCCACCAGCATTCATACACTAGTTTCACGAACAGGGAATTCCACCCCTGTTCGTGAAACGAATTAACTACGGAATGGGAGACCACACACAGGAGGTCGTGTGGCTCCCATTAAGTGTTGCAACAATGTTTCACTCCGTAATTATAACGATTCAGGGTTTCCGCCATTCGGCTACCGACCACGCAGCGGTCGGCCATCTTGGATCCTTTGTTAGCCCAGTGGTTTTTGGTCGTCGAGCACCTGGAACTAAAATCGGCTACTCAACGGCACGAATACCGCTGGACTTCCAGGCCATTCGGGAGCCCCGGTCATTTGGTAGTTTGTTCCCCTAATGTCAATCGGTACTTTGAATGAAACTAGAAAATAATGTGTATTTTGTGCGGCGTTCGGTTGGTTATGCTGGGATCTGAAATGCACTTTCATGAAGTGTGCGCTCAGACCCCAGCTATCTACCGAACGTCCATTTGTTTAAATAGAGTGAATAATGCAAAAGTTATACATTTTTATGTGAAATATCGGTTCTGCTGCACGGAGGGATAATCCACTTAACCGGATATTCCAGTGGGAATATCCCTATCGTCCAGCAGTGCATGATGGGAGAAATGTCCAGGTTGTTAAGTTCCCCATGTAGTCCCCTACTGTACCATCCCTGGAATGTCAGTAGGGAAACCCCTTGCATGGGGAATCCCATAAATACGGTGACCTGTGAATAAAAACTCAGTTGACTCCCAGCCTATGTGTCGTCTAGTTCTTGGGAAGGAGGATTTATACAACGCTACCAGGTTTATTGCATGCTGTACTTATTTTGCTTGAAGGATTCTATGCTGTTCCTGTTACCCAGTGGAGATACTGTGCATTAACACCAATACTACACACAAATGTACACCCGCATTTAAAATCCAACACTACATCCAAACACACCATAGCATGTAAATGCAAGCTTAACATACAGACAAACCCCTGTATTAAAATTCTAAAAGTACCGACTATACACACAGGAGCTCTTGCTCCTAAGTTCTACAGTTTGTTTACTATAGGTAGAAATTTGACAAAAAAATAAAATATAACTACATAGTTACATATTAAACATTATGCTTTGTTAACTAAAAGGTTTGTGCTCAGCATCATATCCAGAGGTTGTCTTTGGGAAATAGAAGTATGAGTGCTGCCAGCATTGCTGCAGAGGTTGAAGGGGTGGGAGGGGGGTCAGCCTGTCAGTGCTTAGACCGTACGCCGCACACTGCAACAAATTGGTCTGCATGGCTGTCGTCCCAGAAGCAAGCATCTTCTAAAGATGATGCACAAGAAAGCCCACAAACAGTTTGCTGAAGACAAGCAGACTAAGGACGTGGATTACTGGACCATGTCTTGTGGTCCGATGAGATCACCATAAACTTATTCGGTTCAGATAGTGTCAAGCGTGTGTGGCGGCAACCAGGTGAGGAGTACAAAGACAAGTGTGTCTTGCCTACAGACAAGCATGGTGGTGGGAGTGTCATTGTCTGGGCCTGCATGAGTGCTGCCGGCACTGGGAAGCTACAGTGCATTGAGGAAACCATGAATGCCAACATGTACTGTGACATACTAAAGCAGAGCATGAGCCCTTCCTTTCGGAGACTGGGCTGCAGGGCAGTATTCCAACATGATAACGACCCCAAAGACACCTCCAAGACGACCACTGTCTTGCTAAAGAAGCTGAAGGTAAAGGTGATGGACTGGCCAAGCATGTCTCCAGACCTAAACCCTATTGAGCATCTGTGGGGCATCCTCAAACGGAAGTTGGGGGAGCGCAAGGTCTCTAATATCCACCAGCTCCGTGATGTCGTCATGGAGGAGTGGAAGAGGACTCCAGTGGCAACCTGTGAAGCTCTGGTGAACTCCATGCCCATGAAGGTTAAGGCAGTGCTGGGAAATAATGGTGGCCACACGAAATATTGACACTTTGTGCCCAATTTGGACATTTCCACTTAGGGGTACTCACTTTTGTTGTCAATAGTTTAGACCATTAATGGTTTAGTCCATTAATGGCTGTGTGTTGAGTTATTTTGAGGGGACAGCAAATTTACACTGTTATACAGGCTGAACACTTACTGCTTTACATTGTAGCAGAGTGTAATTTCTTCTGTGTTGTCACATGAAAAGATATAATAACATATTTACAAACATGTCAGGGGTGTACTCACTTTTGTGAGATACTGTAAGTATTACACAAAGATACAATAACTGAATAAACTGCCCATGCTAATTTATCAGGCATAAATTATTTATAGAACAGTGTGAAGAAGTTGAAGAATTTGGGGTTAATAATACGCATAAATGAAGTGGACAAAGTTGGAAAAAAACAAAATTTGCTGCTGCTCAGTGATACAACATTTGGACCATGCACCCACTGATTGCCAAATTAAAGTGTTTGGTGAGTGCTTGTGGTTAGTACTACATCTACGGCACATGTGTCCTTAGCCTGCCACAGCCTTTTAAACCCCAGAGACCCTGAATTCAGTGTTTGTTTATTCTGCAGCCTCAGATCGTGCATTCCTTTGATTCCTTCTCTGGAGTCTGTATCTGTCCCAGCTTGACATACCCGTTCCTGTGTTTGAATTCTGGATTCTTGTCCACTGGCTTGTTTATTGGATTATGAACTCATAATTATTGACCTTTTGGCTACAGTGTTGCTTCTACATCATATAGGGGGTGACCTTTTTGGATAAAGACATTTATGTTCATACTCCATTCTTTATTAGTTTTATCTAATTGAGCCTCCTTGCCATCACAAACTCTTTTTGAGCCAGGTCCAATTTACAGGTCTTCATTGCAAGTGGTGATCTGCTGCATTCCTGCAGTTGAGTTGCTCAAGGGCCCAATCCTTAACAATATGACACTTTATACGTAGAGACCATGGAAATTGCTTTTCAGTAAGCTGAGCTAACCATTACTCTGCTAATAGAATTCAACCCTATGTGTTAGTTTTAGAAGGAAGATAAGATACATTATCTTTGCCTGAATAACAAACAGTGTGAGTTCTTCCAGGAGCTTGGATTTGTGATATTATGCACATAATGGACATACTATTGGAAATGGTTTGGAATATCTTTGAGGTCTTAGCACACATTAGTTTGCATAGCAAACATAATGACATATAGCAGCTGTAGTTCAGCATGGGCTCAATAAAATAATATTGAACATTAAGGTGTAAGCATTTGGGCATCTTAAAATATTACTAGTACATTGTGGTAGCCCAGCAAACAGGCATGGCTAAGAAAATGGTGTAGTAAGGAATGACTTGGGGTCTTGAAAACGTGCAGTGATTTTGTAGCTCAGTAGAGATTACTGTTCTCCTAGAGTAGATAATGGTTAGAAGGATCAAAGAATTGGTGGTGTGGATGAAGAAAGAAGTGGTGAGGGAGTCATTGCACCTACACAAGAACATTTAGGGATACTTGGAGTTTCCTGTTTTACACTCTAGTACATATGTGAGAGTAGCAACGAAGAGGCTTTTGGAAGATAATTCAGAAGCTGAATCCTGGCCAAAAAGGAAAAGGCCAGCTCTTTCCTGTCTCCGAGGACACCAGGTAATCATGCACATCATATTGTGAAGGGTGTTTTAACAAAAATAGAACTTAGAATAGAATAGAATTTTTGATGAAATAGATTCACTTTAGCTGCCTCAATGTATTTTTTTCCATAGTCGGGATACTCTAAAAATAAAGTTTGTATTCTGCATTCATCAAATATCCCAAAGTCTACCCTTTTTTAATTGAAAAACTCAATTTCATGTATTCATAGACACGTCTTCTCTGTGTCAAAGTGTAATCTGTCATACTTACATTCACACTTTTATGCCCTTATTGACCCAATTAAAAGTTGACTTAGGTGGATTTTAAGATCCCTGTGAGTTTTTGGCATAGAACATTCTGCTCAGTAATCTGGCCCCCCGAGATAAGGTTGCAAGATCTTTGCAGACATGAAGAAAGTGGCAGAAGGTTTTTTTTTTGCTTTTTAATGAAAAAGTGCAATATCTATTTTTCATGGTGGGCAAGTAAAGGTTACAATACTTCTTAAAACTTGAGAAATGAAAAGCTTAACCACTTGTCGTGGATTAAGGAAGCCACACAAACTTTAATAAAATGTCTTTGGGTAGGGTTGTGATAGGTACAGTTAATATTAATTCTATTTTAATTAATATTAAGATATTAATATTATGTAATTTCCTGTGGGTCTGTTCTTTAACAGTATTTAATGAGGGGAACAATTAAAAACAGAATCATGTTATTCTTTCCAGAATTGCAAGGTAAAAAACATCTCAATTGAAAGTATTTTTTTACTTAAAGTTTGCAATTTATTTTCGATATATCAGAAATTACTATTTCATTTAAAAAAAATACATATCTCTAATTTTATGGCTCCCTATTTTTTACAAGATGGTTAACCCCTTTCTGTCTGAGCCCTGCTTATACATTGGCTAAATGTGATTTTGCAACCTCGCTGTCATATGACTGTCATAGTTATAAATCGATTTAACCACAGACAGACTAATTATACTTTGCCTTTTTGGCACTTTATTTCCCAACCACCTTCAAAGCTTATAATGTTTATAAAACATCTATATTTTAGATATAAAACTAAGATAATGCATTGCGTAATGCAGGGATGCCCAAAAGGTAGATCCCAAGATGTTTAAGAACGACAACACCCGTGATGCTTTGCATGCCTTTAGAATGCCTTTAGAGTGACAAAGCATCATGGAAGGTTTAACACATCTGGGGATCTACCTGTGGCGGTCACCCAGGTAGGAACAAGGGTTTTGCCGCCAGAGATGTTCTTTCCCCCTAGTGTGAGTGATGCTGTATTAATACCAAGCAGAGTATCCCAATGGCGATAATCCAAAGCAGGTATAGCTTTCCCCTACAGATATTAGTCGAGACTGAATGCTGGGGGTGAACTGTTTTTTTAGAAGCCACACACTGCCTTTTATGCAAAAGCCATTGCAAGGGATTTCCAAAGCAACATTACAGGTTAACCCCCCCCTTCCCCCCCCCCCCCATGGTTTTCTCTGTATCTGAGAAAGAACTACTTGAAAACAAAACATCCAAATTACATTATCTCTCGGGTACAGAACATGTACAATTATTACACCCCAAAATACAAACAACACAGTCAGGTACCCCCTCAAGTCCTATATCCCTGGAGAGCCTGGATCTGAGCACCCAAATATCAAAATAGCACTCAGATCCCACGAACGCAGCAGAAACGTCACTTGGGTAAAGTTCTGACCGACTGCACACGAGGCTCCTGCCCAGAATAGTTTCATGAAATTGGTATGAGCGGTTGGTCTCTATCGGGAGTACGAAAACATACAAAGTACTGAACATAAAGGTCCATTCCTACACATGTGCCCCTCTGTTCGTATGTATATAACCGAACGCAGGTGGGAGGTGGAGGTTCAGCGGTGTTCGCGTGTCGATTGTAGTTACGCGCATTCAATGACCAAACACCGCTGCCTGTGTTCGTGGCTCAAGATGGCCGACGCCACGCGTTCGTACATACGGATGATGACCACCCAGCCGACCGCTTAGAACGTTGCGGTTACAATTGTTAACGAGGTGTTGACAGGGGTTATAGAGGTTAACAAGCAGCACACGCAGCATACGGATGGTCTGGTAGTTCATAGGTTGGTTCGGTGATTGAATGAAATAAACCTAGACGTTTACACGAACACGGGGAACTGAACAAACACACGAATGGGAGAAAACTTTTTAAAAATCCAGGGACAGTACGGTCTGTCACATTACCTTTTGGCCACACAGGTGTGTCCTATTTTATCCTAACCTAATGAATGCTCTTATGAGAAAAACCCCATGAGTTAACAGTGAAAGAGAGGAGAATATGTGCATAACAATCTGACAAAAGGAGGGAGGGAAACCAAAAATGTTATTTGAAAACATACAGATAACAGGTTGTCAAAAATAATGTAACTAAAATATACCTTTTTTTTGTTATCCAGTCAAAACAAATCACACATTCTATTGAGAATTACTATTAAGAATCTCCATAATTATCCCAAGTTATTTTTTCTTTCCTTAGTAAATAATAATAATAATAATAATAATAATAACAATAATAAATAACAATAGTATTAATAACAATAATATAAATCAACCGACTAAACAAAAAGATTATGAAAAAACAGATTCCTAGTATCAGATTACAATTACCAAGATATTGTGAACATACAAATTAGTATTACCTAGTTTCAGCCACTAGATGTCCTAGGAGTACTAGGAAAAAGGACAGAACAACTAGTACGCAATGTGAATCACTTAAACGAAAAAAATCTTTTATTTAGACTTTAAATGGACACTATAGTCACCAGAACAAATACAGCTTATTGAATTTATTCGTGTGAGTAGAATTATTACCTTCAGTTTTTTTGCTGTAAACGCTGCCTTTTCAGAGAAAATGCAGTGTTTACATTACATCCTAGTGATAACTTCACTGGCCACTCCTCAGATAGCTGTTAGAGATCCTTCCTGGGTCATGGCTGCCTAAAATGCATCCAAACATTCAGTATCTCCTCCCTCTGCATGCAGACACTGAACTTTCCTCATGGAGATTCATTGATTCAATTCATCTCTATGAGGAGATGCTGATTGGCCAGGGCTGTGTTTGAATCATGCTGGCTCTGCCCCCGATCTGCCTCCTTGACAACCTCAGCCAATCATATGCTTTCCTATGGGAAAGCATTGTGATTGTCTTTTATAATCACTTCTGATTATGCCAGCCAAGCATGCAGATCAGGGGTGGAGTCAGCAGCAGCAGACTGGAATAAAAGTAAGATTTTGCAATATTTAACGGGACAAAGGGTGGCCAGGAGGGCTAGGTGGTGGTTTTAACACTATAGGGTCAGGAATACATTTGTGTTCCTGACCCTATAGTGCTTCTTTAATGTAGACAAGTAATAGGATAAAAAATACATTAGTAAAAAAAAATGGTGGAAACCCCAATCCTATCCGTTAGATACTATCATAAGACATAAAAGCTACATGTAAAATATAGTTACCTAGCAATTCATAATTTCGGTATACATATTAATTTGTTTGTGTTCATTAAAATGGTGACTTGCTATATACAGAAATTGTGGACTAAAATGTTTATAAATACAACAAATATAACAAAAGGTGGAGTGTTTTGATGATATAATAATTATAAATAATATAATAAAGTTGACAATTAGTACTTAAAGAATCACTATACGGTCAGGAACACAAATATGTATTCCTGACCCTATAGTGATAACCCACCATTTAGGTGGCTTGCCTCCCCCTTAGCACCCTCACAAATGGTTAAAACTCACCTTATTTTCAGCTCTCCACGGGTCCTCCGGCATTGGCCCCGCACCCTTGGTGACATCATCAAAATTGCAGATTTTTAGCCAATCCAATGCTTTCCCATGGGGTTATATTCCATGTAAGAGGTTGTCTAACTATCACACTTCATCAGATGTACATTGTAACTCCCACAGCCTCAGCCAGAATCCCATTGAGCATGGTTGGAGTTGTAATTCAGTAGGGGCAGACAGCTTCTTGCACTCAATTTAATGGGAGATACATTCTCAGCAGTGTGTTCTGTGTTTCTCTTTTCTCCCTCTGACGTTTGCAAGTAGGAAGGACAGATGTAAAAACTAGAACCAATGTATGTTGTTTCTTTATTTGGAATGTTTAGAGCTAAATTGTCTGAGAGTAAGGAAACAGGAGCTTAAACACCAACAGGGTTATTTGTCCAAAAGAATACTGTTGGAATTTAGTCGGCCTAAGCGAATATGCAGCAATCGCCCTAATGCATTCCCTGCCCCTATTAAAATCAGTGCTTTCGCATCAGAACTCTCTACAAAGTATATGATTTGGAACATTCGCAAAGCACCGATAATAATAAAAGCCGGGACTGAATGCGCCGAGTAGCATGCACATTCGCTAATTATCATTCACTTGCTTTTTTGCAAGTGACTTGATCATTTTAATTACCATTTGCCCACTGACAGCCCTAGCAGACAGCGTGCAAATAGTGGAAAAACCCACGGCAGTGCGAGGATTAATTATGGGGCAGCTGGTGATTCGGTGTTTAATATATAACCCTGTCTGTGTGTACACCAGGCACAAAAAATGCAGAAAACTTATATTGGCAGCCAGGAAGAGAGAACATCTTCTGTGTTTATCTCCGTAATGAAACATTCTTTAAAAGAAGTGATGCAGGAACAATGTCTTCAGTAAGATGAAGTGGTTATGGTTCTTAAACTGATCCCTTAAATATTTTTATTGCAAACAAGTTGATATATGCAGATGAAAAATTCAGTCAAGTACATCAGACCTTTATAGTAAATTTAGTAAGTTTAGTACTTAAATAAACCTAGACATAGAATACATATTTTTAATATAAGATGTAATGAGAATTTGCAGCCACCTTGATTTTTCTCTCTACGTCTAGATGAGGTAGGTGTAACTGTAGCCAGAAACCATCAGGTGGTAAGTATCACTGTCTAGAATGAATACCAGGTGCACCTTAGCATTTTGTATCTCCTTTGAAGGGAAAGCTGTATGTTTTGGCATTATTTAAAATCAAAGCTTACATTTCTAATCTCCTCTGTGTTCATTATTTTATAATGCATAGATATAAAGATCTATCTTACTTCAACGTTGCTGCTGATATAACCTTTTCCATGTGGACAGTGATGTTTAAAGTAAAACGAATAAACATATTTCTAATGCTATAGTGTTCCTCTAATTTTCTATGTTATAACTCTCCCACCCCCAGTTTACAGTAAAAAGAAAAATGTTTTACTCACCTTGTAGCAATTGCCACGCTGGTCTCCACGATGCCAGTCCGGCCTTCTTGGCTGAGATAATCAATACTGATCACCTCACCCAATCCAATGCTTGGAAGCATTGGGAGGCTAGTTTGCATTTGCAGCTAAATGCAACATTGTGCCAATCAAATTCTCTCCATGAGAGTCATTTTCAAAAAAATAAATAAAAAATAAAAATAAAAAGAAAATTGTTTTAAAGTTTTAAAACTGCAGCACTTACACTGGCAAGTAACAGAGCAGGAAGAAGCTCCACCAATCAAGAGCCTCCTATTGTGTGCGTGGATAAGGACGTGTATGTAACAAGGACGAATAAAGATGGCCACCTCTACAAAGTAAGGGTAAACCAGGAGATGTACTGAAAAAGGTGCATTTACCTATATGTAAGAAATATACAGCAATTCACACAGAAGTTAAACCTTTTTGGGAGCCACTAATTAACGTTTGGTAAATGTTACATTTTGTAGCACAGAATCAATCAGTAATTGATAACAATAGTGGTTACTGAATTGTTGCTAAATGACTGTGACTCACTTTTAAATGAGCCCCATGAGTCATAGTGGGTTAATATTCTAAAATCAGTCATTAGGTTCGGATAGTATCGACTGACTAAAACCAGGTAACCTGGATAGATAAACATGTTTAGACACAACATAAAATATTCAAAATGCAAATGTATAATTTCAATTAATCAATGGGTTGCCAAATATTTGCAGAAATTAGGACACATGATTTTATTTATCCAGTGGGAAACTGAGGAGAATTAACAATGTAGTTTTACATTTTAGGTCAAAATAACCAAAATGAAAAAAAAACAAAAACAGCGGATATGTAAAATCTTTCTTTGAAAACTTTAATGAAACGAAGAGGTGCTAGAGGCTGTAATATTAATGAGGCATGGCTGCTAAGTGCTTCCTTTCATAGATTTAATACAGAAATATAGCATGCAAGAGTTTGTGCTAGATTGAATGAAATTATTAAAAAGATCTCTTTGGGGCAATTCCATCTATACAGTGCCCGTTTAAAAATTGTTTCCTTAAAGGAACACTGTGTAGCTAGAATTGAACACTCACCTTTTTATATAAATAATGAACACACATTTATGTTGTGTTAAGTATTTAGAATGAAAAACATTATCCCTAAACTTTGTTCCTAAGGCAAAAAAAATAAAATAATAATAATCTTAAAATAAATGTATTTGTTGCTATATGGCTAGCTTTTACATATTAACTTTACATATTTTAAGATTAATAAATTTAACTTAACAGAGATAAACTCTTCCTCCATGACCTTTGCAAACTGTAAAAAAAAGAAAAAAAAATATTTTCAGTTACGAGATTAATATATTTTATTAATTCCTCATAATAATTAAATTATAAAAATAACCTAAACCATGGTAATTCTGTTGTTTTGTATTTTCATTATTAAATTTAAGAAAGACGATATCAACTTTTAAATGTTTGCTCATTTCTAAATTTCTCCATTGTTGAAATATATGCAAGATTAAAGGTCGACCCCATTAAAATTTTACATCAGCCTATAAAAATAACTTCAATAAACAATTATGAGAAAACCATCCTATTCTTCATTAAGTATTTTCTATTAGTGGCTTTGTGGACAATCTATATATATATCATTGTATTAGGATGGATGGGGTTTGAGTGCTGATTCTAGATATGTGACGCTGGCATTACACAGTTACATAGTTAAATAGCTGAAAAGAGACATGCGTCCATCAAGTTCAGCCTTTCTCGCTTCTGCTTTTGCTGTTAATCCAAAAGACATAAAAACAGTCTGAAGCGCTTCCAATTTTGCAACAAACTAGGAAAAAATCCTTCTTGACCTCAGAATTGCAGTCAGATCTCTCATTGGATCAAGCAGCTATTACCCCACTAATTAGAAATGATATCCCGGAATATAAAGTGGTTGCAAGTATTAAGCCAATTGCTCTTTAAACATCTGTATGGAGAATTCCACATCCTTATTGTTTAAACAGTAAAAAGCCCTTTACTTAGCATTATACTAAATCTCCTTTCTTCCAGTCTAAATGCATGACCTAGTGAAGGGATAGGCAACCATCGGCACTCCAGATGTTGTGGACTAAATATCCCACAATGCTCTTGCAGCCATAACGCTGGCAAAGCATCATTAGAGGTGTAATCCAAAACATCTGGAGTGCCGAAGGTTGATTACTCCTGATCTTAGTATTCTATATATAGTCCTGTTTATGAATAGATTTCCAGACAATGGTTTGTAATGGCCCCGAATATATTTGTATAATGTTATCATATAGTCGCCAGTTCTCCAAACTAAAGAGATTTGAATTTTTTTTTTTATCTTTCTTCGTAACTAAAATGCTCCATTCCTTTAATCAATTTTGTAGCTCCTCTCTGCACTTTTTTCTAGTGCCATGATATCCTTCTTTAGAACAGGTGCCCAAAATTGCACAACATATTCAAGGTGTGGTCTTACCAGCGATTTATAAAGATGAAAAGTTATATTTTCATCCTGAGAAATAATGCCCCTATTTATACATGACAAAACCTTACTGGCTTTAGCAACGGCAGATTAACATTGCATATTGCTGCCTAATTTGTTGTCTATAACAATTCCCAAATCCTTCTCGTGTGTGGTTATCCCTAATTCCCTACCATTTAGGGTGTAAGTTGCTTGTGCATTCTTGACCCCAAAGTGCATAACTTTGCATTTCTCTACGTTAAATTTCATCTGCTATTGGAATGCCCAGTCCCCCAAACTATCCAAATCCCTCTGCATCAAAGCAATATCCTGCTCACAGAGTGTCATCTGCAAACACTGAAACATGGCTCTCAATGCCTATTTCAAAACCATTTATAGATGTTAAATAGAAGCGGTACAGTGCTGTACAATTTATTCCTTTAATTCCTGCATTAGATGCCGTTTCGTTTCCAGGCCAGATCTATATTCTATTATGTGCTTTATATTTCTGGAACATATTGATGATAGAAACAGAATATCCTACCAAGTACACTGCTCCAGAACGAAAGGAATGTTGCACTTCCAGTTACACTACTGGGTGCAGCTGGGTTCATTCTCTTGGTTTTGATAACAAACGTTTGTCCTGTTTTCTCGCTAGTTGGTCCTGTAACTTCAATGTCCACAAAGTGCCAGTTTGGGATGCTAGATAAAAACAGATACAATTTCATTAGACTGATATTTCCTGAACAACCACTAGAGGGCAGGATCACACCACTTGGAACCATTATTCACAGTTGGTTAAATTAAAAAAAATTAAAAAAAATAGACATTTTTTTTCTGAATGTACTTTGCCACATGGTCCTATGGTCTTTGGTTGTGTAGGTGAAATAAAAATTGCAGTAATACACAAAGTAATTTCCATTATTTAGACACAAACTAAATAATATCTGAAATAATATAATTACCAATACACAAATCAAAAGCAGTTTAAACTGAAATATTTATTTAATTACCAATTGTTATTCTTAATTGCTTAATTCCCCTAAAAATAAAGTAACTGGTGTCTATATGTAAACATATTATCTTAAAACTATTAGTTACACAATCTCTCTCATTGAGGTCATAATGTAATTAAAAAAAATTGGAAGTCACATCACTCTGAGAAATCTTGGGGTCCTGGGCCAACAGAGAAGAGCCCCCCGTCTCATCAATATGAGATTTAGATATTAAGGATTTTAGAGTTTTGGTGTGTTTAGGTTTTTTTTCTGGGCATTAGAATTCTTTTTTAAATGTTCTATTCCTCACCTGGGATCAGCGATTAAGATTCCAATCACCTTATCAAAGCCAAGCGTGTGGGCTGCCATGCAGGCAGCTGCCATGGTGTTAACATTGTTTGGTGCCAGGGGACACAGACCTCGTACAGGGCCTTCATACAGAACCGACCTCTCATTTATTGCCTGTTTATTCTTCTCCACTAGGGGGCCCGTGAGTTTAAAGCTATCTGGATGTTTCGTCATGGTGATTTTGAGGCCCTACCAGGAAAAAAAATACATAATATATTAATGATGATATAAAATACAAAAACAGTCACATCGCAGTATACAAAAAAGAAATCTAATAGAAAATGACAAATGATACATTGTATAATTCTGAAAACTACATGCAAAGTTTGATAGTTCTATTGGTTGATATTTTGCATTAACGAGGATCTGTCATCTTTAAAATATTTGTATCATTAAAGAAAATTGGGAATAATCTATATTTCAGAAATGATCATTGAATGATCAAACATTACTTTATAGATAATGATTTGGGGTCTTCTTCCCATGAGTCTCGGCACCTGGGAGTCACAGAGCGGAAAAACCACCCCGCCTCTTTACAGAAAGCCCGCCCAACCCAGCCATTGTCCCCAAAGGATGCCCAGACCAACCCAGGGGACCCCATAACGGTACCTGTCGTGAACAGCCTCCATTTGCAGGGTCCCTGTGTGAAACCAGGCAAGAGAAGCATCTACTTCCAGGATACGAATGCTCCTCCTAGTTGGTGCTTGACCATACGAATGGTGGCCACCCAGGGAATCACTCATTAATTACTTCCCTTGCGGTACCACACTTATTTTGCAAGTTGTTAACATTCTAATTGATTGGTGTGATGGGTGGGAAGCTGTTCACGAATGCTCCCCTTGGTTGACGTTCATCTATACAAACTGGCAGCCACACAGGGGGTGGCACACGTCAAGGCTTCCCTTGCGGTTTTGGCATCAGGTCGAGGTGAGAATGTTCTAATGAGCATTCTAAATGGGTTAATGGGGTGGTCCCCGTTCGGGAAGCGAATGGATTCCCTTTGTGGAGGCACTCCCGAATGGGGAGCAGGCATTTTGCATGAACACACAGGATAGTATACATAATAAAGACAGGCAAAATACATGAAAAACAAGGTTCCTTCACAGTAACAAAATATCCACCAGATTATGTCTGATTTCACCGCACAAGATATAGTCCGTACACTGAAATTTATAACATTTACCGTTATGGAAATTAAATAGCAAATTATAAAATAAGCAGTACTTGAATGGGGTCTGATGCCCTGAACTCGTTTTGAGAACAATGTGCTTTTTGGCAAAGCTGGGGGCCCTTACATCACACGATCGTTATTTAATATTTTCACTGCTATTAGTTTGTTTTTTAGATAAATATTCAGATGGACTCTTACTGTGCAGTAGTAAGCTAGTCCTCGGTATTTATTTGTTGTTTTTTCTTTGGGGAGTTTCATTACCCTGGGTTGTCTACTTTAAAAAAATATGTACATGTGAGGTGTGATTCAGAGATTCATGACAGATAAAGTGTTACAATGTCACTATTGATACATGTCCCTACAACTTGCAAAAAAAAAAAAGTTAAGAACATGTTAACATTGGGTATTTCTAAATTCAGGACAAAATTTAGAAACTATTTAGCATGGGTGTTTATTGGCTGTTGTAGATGCGTTACAGATTTTGGGGGTCAAAGTTAGAAAAAGTGTGTTTTTTCTTTGAAACAAATCCATCATATTTTATAATTTTTTTATAGTAAAGTATATGGTATGATAAAAATAAATGTATCTTTAGAAAGACCATTTAATGGTGAGAAAAATTGATTAAATATGTGTGGGTACAGTAAATGAGTAAGAGGAAAATTATAGCTAAAAACAAACACCGCAAAAATGTAAAAACAGCCCTGGTCCCAAACGGTAAGAAAATTGAAAAAATGGTTTGGTCACTAAGGGGTTAAAGGGTTACTACAAGCATCTTGTAGTGGTTGTGATGTTAGACGTACCCTGGTAAGGGACAAACCGTTTAGCAACAATTTGCCCCTTACCTGGGTAGCTACTGGGCTCCGATGTCCCATTGTGGCCCAGTGACAGAAGCAGTGGGTGTCCCAGTTTTTGGACACTCGGAATGTCCGATATAAGCTTTATTACAATAGACTGCTTTCACCCTTGGGAAGCCTGGTTGGTCTCCTTTGTTCAGTTGATCCAGAAAACTTGCACAACTGTTATATTGGCTACACGTAGACTTCTACGGTGTGGCGTGTTTGAAATCCTACTTAGTACACTGTGATAGATAATTGTGATCGTAAAGTTAATACTTTAACTTAACCAATGTTTCATGTGAGGCTTTTTTTAAGGTAATTTCTTCTACTACTAAGCATTGGACGCTGTAAGTAATTAATATGCTTTAATAATCCTGTTCTGAAATAATCCAATACTCCAGTAAATACCTTCTGTTCCAAATGCTGAGTTTCAAATCCATACCTACCATCTCTCCATGTCATCCCATAGCTACCGCATATATTCACATCCACTGGTGTTGGTTCTCAATGTTGACATTTTTCAGATTTGACTTTTTGGGTCTACAAATTGCAATCCCATCATTTGTACAACTAAAGTATCAATTTTGTGAATACACAACAGGTCTGATCTGAGATCACCAGAAAATCACAAAACAAATTACCTTTGTTATGGCTAAAGCCATGAAATAGATTGAAGATATTTGCCCGTCTGCGTTACTTAATCCCCCAAACTATTTTACTTTTGGAAGAGCAAGGTATATCACTGTAAGTTCATGCGCTATTGCCTATGCAATGAGCATAAGACATCGGGGTACTCAGAGTGCACGTTTAAGGTCAGTATGGGTGAGATAAATAGTGTAGACCACAAATCTATCATTCACTCCACAGTTCCCATAAAAGTTTTCATCTTTTTTCAGTTTTTGCAAATACGTTGATGTTATTTATTTTTTGGGGTTCATACTTTAAGTGTTCCTCTGTCAGCCATTTTCTGAATATCTTCTCCACCCCAAAAGGCACCGCTTGGAATATATAGCGTGTGTCCAGAACGCTTGGCAATTTCTCTAAGCTTTATTTCTGTAGTTTGATCAGCTAGAGACGTAGGAGATCCAACCTGCGTGAAAAGATAAATAGTCATGGGTTGCTTTTTAGGAATCGAAAAAATGCAATTATTATTGCACTTTGTAAAATAGAATTCCTTGATAAGACATGTATGAACTGTCGCACTGTAGACTAAATGTCAATACACGAGCGATGTTATTGTCATTAAACTCTCCATCTACATATAATTGGTAAAGATATAATGAAGTACTCACTAAAAAGTTAAAACAGTAAAAAAAAAAAAGAATGATGAAAGACAAAAACTGTTATCTCCAGATCTAATTGATCACAAAAACAGAGCTATTTACGAAAGCAGGAGGAATTGCAAAGATTAATTTATACGCTTGGGCCACAATAGCTAAACTGATGAGACATTTTCCAATCTGACTTTTTTGTGGGATAAAATGTGAATTTGTTTTTCAATTCACACCTTGATTAATAACCCGGCATATTTTACGGTATCATGGTAAAAAAATTAAAATAGATCAGATTCACTGTTTCCCCTCAGTCATGTTACACCACCAAATGTTGTAAGAAAGACAATTCACCAGGAAATTTGCTGCAGAAAGAAATGCTTCTCCGTAGTCTTTCACTATACATGGGTGAGCCACTTCTACTATCAGATCTGCACAGCTGAAAAAGGAATGAGTTTGAAAGAAAATCATTTTATACACAGTTGCAAACCTCCACAAGCATACCACCCAAGTGTTCTTATTTAGGAGGGACAGTCCTGATTGTAGGTCTACAACAAATCAAATGACAATTTTGCTTGCCTTTCCAAAAATGAATTTAGAACAAGACTATATGTATATATAGATATATGTAGTTTAACGATAGGTTACTGTTACTGCTGTTAGCTTACGGTAGACACTCAGACACACCAATTATGTGAAGAAGGGGCACTATTCTCCTACTTCCCCTCGATATTACCTAGAGATGGCAGGGGTACTAGTCTCCTACCTCCCACTCCATATTACCTAAAGATGGCAGGTGTAAAAGTATATTACCTACCCTCAATATTACCTAGAGAGGGCAGGGGCACCATTCAATAACCTCCCCTCGATATTGCCTAAAGATAGCAGGGGCACCAGTCAATTACCTCCACTCTATATTGCCTAAAGATGGCAAGGGCACCAGTCTCCTACCTCTCCTCGATATTACCTAAAGATGGCAGATGCATCCCCTTGATATTACCTAGAGAGGGCAGGGGCACCAGTCAATAACCTCCCCTCGATATTGCCTAAAGATGGCAAGGGCACCAGTCTCCTACCTCTCCTCGATATTGCCTAAAGACGGCAAGGGCACCAGTCAATTACCTCCCCTCGATTTAGGCAGGGGCACCAGTCTCCCACCATACTACCCATCTATGAAGGGATACGTAGCTTTCCTGCTTTTTGTTCTATATGGCTCTATATGGCTTATAGCTATTGCACCCTATTATAAGTGTCAGTTTGCAGCATTTAAATACCCAATATAATGATGCATAGTAGCTGATATAATAATGCCTGTCCATTATAACCCACTTTCTTTCCACCTCCAGCATAGCAGACTAAATATGAGACCCGATCCCATGTGATGTCATGAACACAGACTAGCATGGTCATACACACATTTCATTTCCTGGAGAGCTAGCATGATGCTAGAAATGTTTGAAATTGTGAGGTTCACTACTAGCCCTGCATTGCTCAGCATCGAGTGATAGCAGTTGCAAACGTAATTTACAAACATGTGGGTGACAGCACATGATTTGCAAGACATTCTGGGGGTGCAGTAAATATACAATATTTCAGAACTTTAGGCAGGTATATAGAACGTGAATCTTATGAAAATGATGTACATTGTGCTAAATACCGTTCAGTAAATTGGGAGAGATCTTGGAGCTGGAGATAATCTGCCACCTTTCCCTTCATCTTCTCCGTACTCCTGTTCCAAACAAATGCTAGTTCCAGATTGTACTGATCACCTTCTCCTTGGATCTGGCTCACCAAATACTCACCTGAGAGTCACCAGGAAAATACAGAATGAGAAGGGGAGATGGAATAAGGAGGGGATTTGAGAAGAAAATTACCACGAATGAGAATGAAAAGATTTAACATTCAGGATTAAAACCCAGAGATAATCCTCAGGTAGGACATTTGCAGAGTGACATACATAGGGAAGCGTGCAGGGATAGCAGTGAGGTGACATTAAATGAAAGCATTCATAATGAGACAGTCAGAGTACATTGTGGGACATTCTAAGTGAAAGTAAAAAAAATCTCAAAATTTAGGTCAAAGCGGCCAAATCGAAAATATGAGGGGACACACAGCATTATTCAATAAAGAGTTCATTATAAAGAATTCAGAGTTAATGTCAAATTCATCAATATAAATGAACTGGAAGAATTCTCCAATTTAGCTATGCTTTCAGTTTGGCTAGTTTTTTACCTTAAATTTGAATTCCTGACACTTCTCACTTTAGTGAATAAACCTGTAAGTAATATCACACATGAGGGGACACACGGTAATAGCACACATGAGGGGACACACGGTAATAGCACACATGAGGGGACACTCGGTAATAACACATATGAGGGACACTTGGTAACAGGCTACATGAGGGGTCACTTGGTAATAGCACACATTAGGGGACACTCGGTAATAGCACACATTAGGGGACACTCGGTAATAACACATATGAGGGGACACTCGGTAATAGCACACATTAGGGGACACTCGGTAATAACACATATGAGGGACACTTGGTAACAGGCTACATGAGGGTTCACTTGGTAATAGCAGACAAGAGGGGACACTCAACATTAGTACACTCAGTAATAGCACACATGAGGGGACACTCGATAGTAATAAGATCTTACCTATATGGCCATACCCTACAATTCCGACTCTCCATTTTTTTTCTTGCAACATGTTTGAATCTTTGATATTTATAAATGTGCATCTGTGAGGACAACCTGCATGGAATCCCGAACCGTACCTGGAGTGAGATTTGGGATCATATCATAAGTATTAATAATAAAAAAAATAAAAAAAATTCCAAATGTAATTAATTGTTCAAAACCTGGAAACTGAATGTGCTTTTGAAACTCTGCTTTACAGACCTTTTATATGATTAATATCCAAGGCAGAATGACGTGTGTGGTGAAAATAACAGTGCGATCACCTTATCCACCCCCTGATAGTAGTAAAGTGCCGTTTATGGGAAAGGAATAAAAATGGAGGGAGTGGACACTTTTCCACAAAGTAGTATTCTGTGGTTTTAACGCTTGCTTAAAAACACTAAATCAGAACATTATTCAGTCTTTACTTATCTATTTTTTATAACTGAGACAAAAAAGAAAAAAACAAACTTATAATATTGGGAGATGACGATTGCCTGTTGATGATGTCCAAGGTCAAAAAAGATTCAAGTGATAGTGAACAATTACTTGTAATCACAAAATACCAAACCCAGGGGTTTCAAATTGTTCAAATATAATGATATTTGATAAACTATTCTAAAAACCTCAATAACATTTTATAATAGATTTAGTAAGTTGTCACACCTAAAAATAGCCACTAGAGGGCAGCCTATAACAACTTGTCAAACTGAGCATGGGCAGTTGTTTCTGTTACATTATACTGAAAAACAGGGACACATTTTTAGGGGGTGCAGCTCTAGGTGTGCTCAGGAATAAAGCTGTTCGAGGATGTTTTATATGATGTTATCATGCACTGATAACCATCCAAGGAATGAAATAATAATAATTTAGAACAAAATTAAAGGTGCATTTTTATACACACTAATAACAATTTAAATTTAAGAAGGTATTGTCATTATGACGATTATTATCATTATTTATAAAGCACAACCCAATCCAGAAGTTTTGTAAAATGAAAAGGTAAACATAGAAATAACTATGATTTTATATATATATATATTTGGATGCTCTGTTACACTTTTATATTTAGACACACTTTAAAAGAGGGATAGAGATATTTGGGTCCACAATAGAGAATGTCCCTCCTCAAAGGGGACACTTGAAAGGTTTTTATCAGGATTATCAGACAACTCACCTATTCATCAAGTAAAGAGCAATATATAGTTATTTATGTTTACAGGATACACCCATACATAAGGACTGAGGGTAGAAGACCATCATCGATGCACGCCAATATTAAAGGGGTTTCCCACGTATAAGAACATAAGTAATTGAGGATATATATTTTTCTGATAATCCTGACAGCGCTTTACATCTGATAACAGTGACTACTTGACAAGCTTTCAAGGCTGAACTATGAAAATTCTGTTTGAAAAGTTGTTATAAACTGACCCCTAGTGACCATTTTTAGATATGACAATTCAACAGATATTTCTAGTGATTAGTTGAAATTATATTCGTTCTCAGATTATTTAAACTATTAATGTTTTTTTTTTTAAACTACAGTGTATGTCAATATTTAATCTGTACATATATAACTTCACAGATTTTACATCACACACAAATAATGTTTTTTGAAGGCAGTGCCAGATACACATTCAGTGTGGTTAAAAATTAATCTCGGCCGGGTCCATGCATTACTGACTCACTATTCCTCTCCACATGGCTTTAACCCTTTAGGAGATACTGACTGTTGTTTACAATGATATATATATATATATATATATATATATATATATATATGAGCTGGCTTCACACAATGATAAAAAAACAGCTGACAATGAAATTAACAGATTTCCCTGTATTCAATGACACATGCTATAGAGCTTCTTAATCCCTGCCACACACAAACATTGACTGTCTAGATTTATTTTAAAAAATAGATTAAAAACCTATAGGAGATCAACACCCATTCAAAGATCACCACTGGTTTAACGATAGCTTACACAGTCAATGTAACACAACACCCATTCAATGATCACCGCTGGTTTAACGATAGCTTAATACAGTCAATGTAACCCAACACCCATTCAATGATCACCGCTGGTTTAACGATAGCTTAATACAGTCAATGTAACCCAACACCCATTCAATGATCACCGCTGGTTTAACGATAGCTTAATACAGTCAATGTAACCCAACACCCATTCAATGATCACCGCTGGTTTAACGGTAGCTTAATACAGTCAATGTAACCCAACACCCATTCAATGATCACCGCTGGTTTAACGGTAGCTTAATACAGTCAATGTAACCCAACACCATTCAATGATCAATGATCACCGCTTTTAACGGTAGCTTAATACAGTCAATGTAACCCAACACCCATTCAATGATCACCGGTATTCACAGCCAATGTAACCAACACCCATTCAATGATCACCGCTGGCAGTCAATTTCAAGATCGGTTTAACGGTAGCTTAATGTCACAACCCAACACCCATTCAATGATCACCGCTGGTTTAACGGTAGCTTAATACAGTCAATGTAACCCAACAATGATCACCGCTGGTTTAACGGTAGCTTAATACAGTCAATGTAACCCAACACCCATTCAATGATCACCGCTGGTTTAACGATAGCTTAATACAGTCAATGTAACCCAACACCATTCAATGATCACCGCTGGTTTAACGGTAATCAATGTAACCCAACACCCATTCAATGATCACCGCTGGTTTAACGGTAATACAGTCAATGTAACCCAACACCCATTCAATGATCACCGCTGGTTTAACGGTAGCTTAATACAGTCAATGTAACCCAACACCCATTCAATGATCACCGCTGGTTTAACGGTAGCTTAATACAGTCAATGTAACCCAACACCCATTCAATGATCACCGCTGGTTTAACGGTAGCTTAATACAGTCAATGTAACCCAACACCCATTCAATGATCACCGCTGGTTTAACGGTAGATTAATACAGTCAATGTAACCCAACACCCATTCAATGATCACCGCTGGTTTAACGGTAGCTTAATACAGTCAATGATCACCACTGGTTTAGCGGTAGATTAATACAGTTAATGTAACCCAAAATAATCCTCCTTATCTCAGTAAATTAAAAATCACCAAATTAAAAACACGCACTTAAATATACATTTATAGACTACTTTGGAAACTCAGAGTTACCATAGAAATCGCAAACGGTCCATAGGGAAAATAAAATGAATAACCACTGAGTTTCCCCAAAAGGCTTCCCTACTCAAAAAACAGATGATTATAAGTCAATAACCAGGTAAAGGTCTAATGAATTCCACTCCATGGCCCTTTAAATGTATGTGTTTGCTTGTTTTTTTGTAGTGTTTCTGCATTTTTCAGTTCTCAGTTGCAGCAATTAAAAGGTTAAGTTGAGGATGTCATATCTGTGTAACTGTGTAAGGAGGATGTATGGCACTAATAGCTGAGGGTTTCTGTGGTCAGTTAGCTGTTTGTATTTCTAATTGTTCTTACGTTAGAGCACTATTTACCATGCAGGCGAAGTGTCAGCAAGAGACACTACCGAGCAGTAGTTTTTACTATACATATTATGTACCTGAATTCTTACAGTGACTATGGCGCTATTTTTAAGCCTAATAGTTCTTAATTAAACTATGATTTCAAATATCCGTTGGCGCTCTCAGCCGATGAGCTAAGTCATGAAGTGGTTTTGGTGTTTAACATGCACTTCAGAATGTATCAATCCGTCTGTTAGTATGGATTGCTGACATATCTAAATACAAGTGATTGTGTGGATGCTGTCAGCAATGTTTTTTAAGTATAATTATTGAAAAGAGCCTGGATGAAATAATTTTGGACTCACCTTACTTGCTATAAACACTGATGAGGTTTCAGGAGTTCAATTTTAGAGAGCAGTCTACCAGACATTGGTCTCGTATGGAATTCTGGGATTCCTTGCAGTCTATAAACTTTGGAACTTTGTCGTTAATGATTATCCAAGACATTTAACTTTTGCACTGACACAACCCGATATAGCACACACTGGTAAACCTAAAGCCATATCATTTATTATAAGAAACATAACATCTCTGCGTAAACATTATAATTCCAATGCAAATAATGCTTAGGTTTAATTCATTTATTAGGTGATTTACTTTTGTTAATGTTAATGTTTTCTTTAAAAGCCAAACATAGCAGTAGCTTCTGAGTGATCCTTCATTTAAAGTAGCAAACTGCTTGTTATCACTTGACAGAGAGTGATGTATCCACCAAGTGTCATTTATATACGCTGTCACTCATTTCATAAAAATCACTGATATAAAACAATCTCAGCCCACGTACAATGGACGAGTGGGTAAAAATCAGACTAGGTATTCAGTCACACTGACTTTGCACTCCCCTCACCCATCCCCATCCTCTGGGCTGGATGATGGTGGGGAGAGTTATAACAAAGAGTCCCTACTTTGTCTTATGTTTTAAAGAGCAATAGATCAAACATTAAGAAAAGAAGAACAGATTCTGAAAGAGGAAGAGAATGCAATAGGAGAAAGGCCAATATGAGGTGACATAGCTGCTTTAATAGTAACCTTATAGTATTTTATTAGATCTATACCAAAACATGGACATTTAACCCATTTACTAGAACAAAATCCGTTAGCCAACACATTTATTGTATTTGTTAGGCATTTAACTGTCTGCCAAGATGGCCACTAATAAATCCAATACTTTGACTGAGACTCTCAGGTGCTGATGAGGCTTCAGTGGGGAGGACAGTTGTGATGAAGCAGCTAATTGTTTATCCAGACAACGACACTGGAAGCCAAGAGCATACAAACAGCCCTTATATTCAAAAAGATAGATTCATTTTGTTAACTGGTTTTTTTTTTGTTTTTTGTTTTTTAACTTTTTTTTTTTTTATTGTTTGACTGGCTATAGCAGACATTGTTGCAGCTTTTTTCTTTTCTATGACAGTACCCATTTCCATAGCATTTTCCATAACAGGGAAACCTACTGTCCAATCACACAAGGGGTGAGAAACCAGTATAAAGTCTGTTAGATCCCTCCTGGTTTTTAGGGGGTTCTCCTGTTGATGTGCTTCATTAACTGTCTATCAGTCCATATTGGTTAAAGGGAAAATGAAAACAAAAGTGCCCTGTGCAACAAAGGTACTTATATATGTTATAAAATCAATAGATATTACAAGTAACAGCTCCTACACTAGTGTAAGTCCCCTCAAGTAAACACACAAACAAGCAACAAATCAGATTGAACTACGGTAAGTGGTGTGGATCCACTATTAGGATACCCAGTGGAGCGCTACGAGTATACACTTGCCCTCAAAAGTAAGGGAAGAATAATACATTGAGAAATTCACTCGGATAAGAGAAAAACAAAATATAGTGCAATATGTCTAAATCAATGTTGACAAGTGCTCGTATATTCTTCATTTCACTTTTAGCAATTTTTTTATTGAAAAAAAGAGAGCACTATTTATCGTCTATTATTCTTGTTTTCTATATTATATCCTGTAAGTGAGGATTATACCACTGCACTGGCTATAGCGCCACTAAATGTGAGTAACCCATTGTTATTTTATTATACCCACTTTGGTTACAGCGATATACTGCACCATTGGCATTTTCCTGCTTTTTGTTTTTCTATGCTACATACAAATTGCATCAAGGAGCTCTAAAAATTGGTATACCTTTTTAGACAAGACTTCTCGCTTGACTTAGAATTTCCCGTTTGACTCTTAATGCCACTTGCTTTTACTGCTGTTGAAAAGGATACCTTTATTCAAGACATTTTTGGGGACCAAATCTTTTTAAATTATTGGTGTATGGTTTTAAGGGCAGCCCTTGCTCTTGTGTCTATTGCTTTTCTCAACTCATTAAAGGGTTGTTGCCCTTTTGTCCTTTGTTAATTAGCGTCAATCCTTCTGTTGTTTGCATCCTTAACTAGGCAACTAAAACTCTTAAGTTAGATATTTCAAATCTTTTTGATGTAGTTGATTCATCACATTTTACAGCCATAACATGATAAGTCAGTTTTTACATCAAAACACAACATTATACTGCTCCAGAATATATTTTTGAAATATAATTTGTATTATAAATATAACAATAGGTAACTATGGCTGTCTGTCTATTTGAAAATGTCTGTGGTGTGTTGCCTGTCCTCCTTTACCACAGAATGTCAAGAAATCATGTTCCCACGACAATATCTAGGTGACTTACAACAATAATGTTCCTATTTGTGATGTGAATTGTTTTCTCATGCTTTGTCTCACCACAAAAAGTTTTAGTTTTGCACGCAATTTCCTTTTTACAGACCTTGCTCCAGTATAAAACACAATCCACAAGATACACAGCACGCAAGATCTTGACTAAATTCCGAGTCCAAGTTCTGGACACAATGAGTTCTCTACTTGTTGCTTGTTTTTTGTCAACTCTTTTGGCTCCAGGTAAGTTAAAGTCTTCTAAGAGAGAATGTGGGATTACTGGGCATCTAAATGTTATATTTAAATCAGTGGATTGGATCTATCCTGATTGTAACAAGGTATGATTTCTTACACAGTTGTTTGCAGGAAGTACACATGCTGTTTTCGACAGACACACATTTTGTGTATTGAGTTATCTTGGAGACCCATTATTTAATTTTACAGTTTTTAATTGTAATATATATATTTAATTCATATCAGTTCTGCATCAACCTGCTGCACAGGAGATGACCACAACTTGACTATAACAAAGTATATCAACATCTAGGTCATTTTACATCCTGCAGTAAATGCTACCACTCTCAGGCCTCAGCTCACACTCAAACCCACTCTTAGGCCTTATCTCACCCTCAAACTCAGTGAAGCTCTGCATTTTACATCCTGCAGAAAATCCTACCACTCTCAGGCCTCACTTCACACTCAAACTCAGCGAAGCTCTGCATTTTACATCCTGCGGAAAATCCCACCACTCTCAGGTACTGATTTATTCTTGGATTGCTACCATATTCTCATGTGTTACTATAGAGTTGTTACAATTTATACCTGTAGTTTGCCACTGTAATGTTATGTGCATGCAGTGTGTACCACTGTCATTTAATGTTTCTGACCAATATTTCATGGACACAGCTATTAATATTTTGGGTGATAGAATTTGGTTGCTAAACTTTTCAATCGTATATAACACATGGCTACTCTACTCTCCTCCTCCTTGCCCCCCCTTCCCTCCTCCCCCCACAAATTATTATTATTATTATTATTTTATTATTTATATAGCGCCAACAAATTCCGTAGCGCTGTACGGAAAACAGTTTTAGCACATTAGATGACCACACGTTAAAAATACTTGATATTTTAGCTTACAATGTTGTGCAAGGGACCTTCACGGTGCACATTTTATGCACTATTATTATGGTAGTATAATTATTTTCACTACTGTGGTTTTGTATTGTTAAATGAAAGCTCTTTGATGTAAAATAAATAGATAATTTTTCACATATAAGTGTTACTTTATTGTTTTAAATGCAGTCCAACCTCTTTAAAAAAAAAATAAGAAAAAATAATGACACCCACCTGTAATGCACCCCTCAATGGGCCTGTTTCATGGGCCTGGAGCTGCAGCTCCATCAGCCCCTATGTTAATCCGGCCCTGCACATACACACACCGACCCACAGATACACACACACTACTAGATACACACACACTGTCAAATACACACACTATTTTTATATTTGCATTCACCCTCCTGTTAGCATACCTGTTGTCTGCAGGAGGGCTACTTGCTGGCTGAGGCCGGTGTGTATGGGGGGTGGGGTGGGGGAGGGGGGGGGGAGCTGCTTACTCCAGACTGCTACCTCTCTCCCTCCAGTGTGATGTTTTTTATATGAAGTTGGGAGGAAGTGACCATACTAAGGGGGCCCTGTTGCGCTATTACTCAGCCACGGCACTGACTGAGTCCCTGTGCAGCAATGCCCATCAGTGGCCCTCTTTTGCTCTCCCAATTAAGAGAGGGTTACATTAATCCATGCAAAAAATTACTGGAGCATGGACAAGCTCCTTAGTAGCATCATGCATAAGAAAGGGGCAGATGCAGGATATTTTTTAAGATGGAATCTACAGGATTTGGTAACATACTGAATATGAGGCTCAGAATTAAGTAAAATGCCAAGACTGCACACTTTCAAGGATGGACTGAAGGGAGAGCAAAAGAGGAGGGTCAGTATTATGAGGAGGAAAGTCAAGGAGCTCAGTTTTAGAGAGATTGAGTTTCAGAAAGCGGGAGGATATCCGATCAGAGATGGAAGAAAGGCAAGCAGTGACACGTTGCAGGACGGCAGGGAAGAGGTCAGGTGAGGAGAGATATATCAGCATACAGGTGGTAGTGGAATCCAAATGAGGTACTGCAAGAGAGGCAGTATAAAGAGAAAATAGAAGGGGACCAAGTACAGAGCCTTGGGGGACTCCAACTGAGACAGGACGAGTGGAGGAGGTATCATTAGAAAAGGAGACACTGAATGAGCGTTGGGAGAGATAAAAGGAAAACCACGGAGACCGAGTGATTGAAGAGTTTGAAGAAGGAGAGCATGATAAACAGTGTCAAAGGCAGCAGAGAGGTCAAGAAGAATTAGTATGGAGTAGTGACCTTTAGATTTAGCTGTGATTAGGTCATTATTAACTTTGATAAGAGCAGTCTCAGTAGAGAGGAGAGGGCGGGAGCCAGATTAAAGAGGGTCAAGGAGAGAGTTGGAATTAAGGAATTGAGACATATGGGTATAGACATGTCTTTCTAGAAGCTTTGAGGAAAATGGGACATTGTTCCTGACCAAGCACCTTATATACTATCTGATCTTAATAAGATCCTTCGAGTTAAGACTCTTTTATTTGGATTATCCTTATATTTTTATTATTGAATGTTATAAGGTCTCTCTGGCGCAGCCCTTATCTTTCTCTTTTAGCACGTTGATTTAGTGTGCCACAATCAGGGCC